CCATAGGAGCTCCGCCGAAGGCCCCAGTGCTGCCGCCCGCATGCGCCGCCCACACTCAATTCGGCACACCCCTCACACGTTTCGTGATCCCATAGGGAGCTCTACCGAAGGCCCCAGTGCTGCCGCCCGCATGCGTCACGCACACCCAATTCGGCACACCCCTCACACGTTCCGTGGCCCCATACGGAGCTCCGCCGAAGGCCCCAGTGCTGCCGCCCGCATGCGTCACGCACACCCAATTCGGCACTCCCCTCACACGTTTCGTGGCCCCATAGGGAGCTACGCCGAAGGCCCCAATGTTGCCGCCCGCATGCGTCCCGCACGTTCATTTCGGCACACCCCTCACACGTTTCGTGGCCCAACGGGAGCTCGGACCCAACGGGAGCTCCGCCGAAGGCACCAGTGCTGCCGCCCGCATGCGTCACGCACACCAAATTCGGCACACCCCTCACACGTTTCGTGGCCCCATAGGAGCTCCGCCGAAGGCCCCAGTGCTGCCGCCCGCATGCGTCACCCACACCCAATTCGGCACACCCCTCACACGTTCCGTGGCCCCATAGGGGCTCCGCCGAAGGCCCCAGTGCTGCCGCCAGCATGCGTCACCCCCACCCAATTCGGCACACCCCTCACACGTTCCGTGGCCCCACAGGAGCTCCGCCGAAGGGCCCAGTGCTGCCGCCCGCATGCGTCACCCACACACAATTCGGCACACCCCTCACACGTTTCGTGGCCCCATAGGGGCTCCGCCGAAGGCCCCAGTGCTGCCGCCCGCATGCGTCACGCACACCCAATTCGGCACACCCCTCACACGTCTCGTGGCCCCATAGGGAGCTCCGCCGAAGGCCCAAGTGCTGCCGCCCGCATGCGTCCCTCGTGGCCCCATAGGGAACTCTACCGAAGGCCCCAGTGCTGCCGCCTGCATGCGTCACCCACACCCAATTCTGCACACCCCTCACACGTTTCGTGGCCCCATAGGGAGCTCCGCCGAAGGCCCCAGTGCTGCCGCCCGCATGCGTCACGCACACCCAATTCGGCACACCACTCACACGTTTCGTGGCCCCAACGGGAGCTCCACCGAAGGTCCCGGTGGGTGTGCCCGCATGCGTCCCGCACATTCATGTCGGCACACCCCTCACGCGTTTCGTGGCCCCATAGGGAGCTCCACCGAAGGTCCCAGTGGGTGTGCCCGCATGCGTCCCGCACACCCATTTCGGCATACCCTTCACACGTTTCGTGGCCCCATAGGGAGCTCCACCGAAGGCCCAGTGGGTGTGGCCGAATTGCCGTCGCCACACCACTTCGGCACACCCCTCAACGCGTTTCGTGACCCCGCGTACACGTTTCGTGGTCCCGTAGGGAGCTCCACCGAAGGCCCCAGTGGGTGTGCCCGCATGCGTCCCGCACACCCATTTCGGCACACCCCTCGCACGTTTCGTGGCCCCGTAGGGGGCTCCACCGAAGGTTCCAGTGCTGCCGCCCGCATGCGTCCCGCACACCCATTTCGGCATACCCTTCACACGTTTCGTGGCCCCAGAGGGAGCTCCACCGAAGGTCCCACTGGGTGTGCCCGCATGCGTCCCGCACACCCATTTCGGCACACCCCTCACGCGTTTCGTGACCCCTCACACGTTCTGTGGTCCCATAGGGAGCTCCACCGAAGGCCCCAGTGGGTGTGCCCGCATGCGTCCCGCACACCCATTTCGGCACACCTCTCGTACGTTTCGTGGCCCCATAGGGGGCTCCACCGAAGAAGATATTCACAATTGCGGTACTCACAATCGCGTATGGTTGGGTCCTTCGCCAGGATAATTTTTTATTTGTACGACGCGAACAGGTCTGAGGAAGAGGAGGAGGAGGCGGAGGAGGAGGAGGCGGAGGAGGAGGCGGAGGAGGGGGAGGGGAGGGGGAGGAGGAGGAGGAGGAGGAGGAGGAGGTAGGAGGCAGGAGGAGTAGGAGGAGGAGGAGGAGGAGGAGAGGAGGAGGAGGGAGGAGGGAGGAGGAGAGGAGGAGGAGGGGGGAAGAGGAGGGGGAGGGAGGAGGAGGAGGCGGAGGAGGGGAGGAGGAGGGAGGAGGAGGAGGAGGAGTAGGAGGAGGAGGAGGAGGAGGAAGAGGAGGGGGTCGGGCCTGGGACCCCCCACCCCCGTCCTCCTCCCAGCCGCCCGGCCGCCATGGCCGCCCTGGCCCGGCCGCGGCCCGCCGCAGCGCGCGCACGCGCCGCTCCCCTGGGCATAAGTCGGGCCTGCCCCTCTACAGGGGGAATGTCCAAAACTAGTGAAAAAAATAATCGAGGGACTATGTCTTGAGGATTTTTGTTATGACCGTCTTGGAGTGTTTTTTGAGCACGTCTTACTTGTTCGTCGAGAGTCCCCCTGTATGGGGGACGCGCCCGACTTCACTCTGGGCAGGCAGCGGCAGCTGAAGGCCGAGGCCGCCGAGCGGCGCGCGATGGACGCGGCGGAGCGCGAGGGCCGGCGCGCCGAGGCCGCGGCGCCCGCGACGACGTCGTCGTCGTCGTCGTCGCCGTCGTCGTGGTCGTCGTGGTCGTCGTCGTCGTCGTCGTCGTCGTCGTCGTCGTCGTCTCTTCCCCTTCCTCCTCATCCTCCCCCCCCCTCCGCCTCCTCCTCCTCCCCCTCCTCCTCCTCCTCCTCCTCCTCGCCCTCCTCCTCGTTCTCCTCCCCATTTTCCTCCCCATCTTCCTCCTCCCCGGGCGACGACGGCGACAGCGACGGACCGTGACGACGGACGTCGACGAAGCACGACGACGGTCACGGCGGCGGACCACGACGACGAGGACGGGCGACGAGGCCGACGACGACGACCGCACCATAGACCTGTCCTGGGGAGCGTCCTCACGGGAATGTGCAGGCGGATCCAGCCGTGGCAACCAAGCCCTCCAGCAGGTCAAAAAGAGCCGGACACGTCTTAAACCTCTCGATCCCCGAATCTCGATCTTCGACACCCGAACCTCGACGATGACGATGACGATCGAACTCCGCTCAAAACCGGTCCCTGGACCTCTTCACGGGTTCATTCTGGCCAGCTCCTCAGCCCAGATGATTCCTGACGGCCCTGGGGTCCGAAGCGGATCCTCGGATTTCTGTTAATTATTTTCGCCGGTCCACGAACTTCGATCCCGAATCGGTCCCCGAACCGCTTCGATCCTGGCCACCTTTCCGTCTCAGATCGATGTCCTGGCGGCCGATGAACCCCGACGCGGGCCGCCTGGGGGCCGAACATGCAGAGGAAACTGATCGAATTTCGACGACGACAGCGAAGGCGACGACGACGGATGCTGGCGGACGCCGATGACGACGACTACAAAGACAAAGCGACGACGACGACGACGACGACGACGACGACGACGACGACGACGATGACTTCGACGACGATTTCGACGACGACACGACGACAATGACGACCACCACTTCGACGTCGACGACAACTACGACGACGACGACGACGACGACGAAGAAAACGACGGCGTCAACTTGGACGACGACGTCGACGACAACGATTTTGTCGACGACGACGATAAAGATTTCGACGATGACGACGACGTCGACGTCGACGATGACGACGAGGACGACTTCGACGACGACGACGATAGAGACTTCGACGATGACGACCAGACAACGACGACGCCTTCGACGTCGACGACGACGCTGACGACGACAACGACGACCACCACTTCGACGTCGACGACAACTACGACGACGACGAAGAAAACGACGGCGTCAACTTTGACGACGACGTCGACGACAACGACTTCGTCGACGACGACGACGACGATACAGATTTCGACGATGACGACGACGACGTCGACGTCGACGAGGATGACGACGACGACTTCGACGACGACGATAGAGGCTTCGACGATGACGATTAGACGACAACGACGCCTTCGGCGACGACGACGACGCTGACGTCGACGACGACGACGTCGGCCTCGCCCGCGCCCGTCAGGCCGAGCGCGCGCGCTGGGAGGCGGAGATGAGGAAGGAGGCGCTCCGCCTCGGGGTCGAGTGTGGGGGGGCTTGCTGGGCCTGCTCGAGGGGCCGAGGGGTCTCGAAGCAGGGGAATGGCATACACTCAGGAGAGGACGAGCACACACAGACACCATTCATCGCCGATTTCCAAGAACATATGCGAAACTATGGGATGTGGGGGGGAAGGCAAAAGTACAGAAGAGATAGGGAAATACGGGGAATCTTGTGATTTACAACGATGAGTTCATGCATACATTTACTCATACATTAGTCATGTATTAAGCATCCTACGTTTTTCTAATTCTTATG